GAAGAAGATCCGAAAATTGGATCGAAACGTTCGCTTTTTCATTTGTTTTAACTTTCGAGTTTATTTTTATAATTTTATATTAATTTAAACTTTTTATTGTGTTTCTATCAGTACATATTGATTAAATGTAATAAATTAGTTTTTATAACTGTAATATTATTTTTGCTCTTATTAGCCTTTTATATGTATAATACTTTATATTATTATTATTATATATTTTATTATTTTTATATTATTTTTATATTATTTTTATATGATGGTCAGAGGACTGGAAAGATTTCCAAGAAATCGAGAGTTGTAATCACGTTTCTTTTATAAGAGAATATTGAGCAAGATGATAAGATAACTGTCAATAACTAGTCAAGAATCAATGCGGAATGTTTGCTTAAGTATAAAAATGTATTTATATATTTATCAATGCCCTGATTAGTGCTCAGTCCCCTCTCATATATTGTTTCCCAAACGACTGAGAAACAGAGAGGACTGAAAACAGGGGAATCAAGAATTTTGACGTTTATAGATAAAAGTACCTCTTTTGAATTATATAGAGGTTGAAAAATTGAGGAAATTCAAAAGTTAAACATATACATAATTTACATTAAATGAAAGTTTGGAAACAATAAATTTTAACACTGTTTAGTAGGAGACTGAAAAATTGATTAACTTAGCATATTATGCAATAGATCACGCAAGATGGAATGAATAAAAATGACGACTCGCCACCTTAAACTTATGACGTGTACTAACTTTACTTTAAACTCATTCATTCGATGCAAGCAGCTATTTCGCTGAGATCGTCATAGCATGACAATGCAAATAATTTTAATATCTGGAACTGAGAATTAAAACTTGGAACTAAGTTAATAACATTATTAACCAATAAATAGAATGTAATCAAATAAATAATATTGTTGTTGATATCAGTGACACTAATGTAAATTAGTTATTAACACAAGAAAATTTTATATTTTATAATTTTTAATTTTATTTTATAATTCCAAAACAATTTTGTACATAACGGTGTGTTGTAATTTGAATTCTCAGTTTTTGTGACATTTTTGGGAATAAATATATTACTTTGCCCCTTTTTATAATTTATCTAATATATACTCAGTTATCTTCCTTTGTACTAAAAAAAAATATAATCCAATTTAATATTAATTAAAGCATATAATAAAGTATAAAGAGAGACACAAAAAATTTCTATTTTTGTACTTTCCCCTCATTTTATAACTTTTTATGTCAATATTGCAAGAAATCGATCTATATATAAAAAAATTAGGATAGTAACATTTAAATAAAAACGTAAATGATCTTTAAATAACTTTGAGAAGCACTCTTTAAAAGAAAGTCATTTTTCCCTTTCGAAATTCTACAATTCTTGTTTAATTTTGTCGAAATTGATAAATAACCGTATTAATAGAGGTAATAGACAATATTAAAATGGAACATTATATATATATATATATTCCATTTTAATATTGTCTATTACCCCAATACGGTTATTTATCAATTTCGATAAAATTAAACAAGAATTGTAGAATTTCGAAGGGAAAAAATGTCTTTCTTTTAAAGAGTGCTTCTCAAAGTTATTTAAAGATTATTTACGTTTTTATTTAAATGTTACTAACATAATTTTTTTATATAAATCGATTTCTTGCAATATTTGACATAAAAGTTAGAAAATGAGGGGAAAGTGAATAGTAATAAGTGAGATATTTTATACTTTAATTTAACTTAATCTTATATAAACTATGAAATATCTCAAAATATTCATTAATTTTTCAACGAGATCTTAAATCTTTTGTGCACAAAATAATTAAGAAAGAAACCAATTAGTATAAAGAAAACATATAATTGTTTTTAAGAAAAAATATGTAAATTACAACCAGATACATATCGTAATCAACGCAAAAATGAATATTATATATTATTATTAATAATTTTGAGTATAATTAAGTCCAAAAAATGCGAGATTTATAAATTGTGATATAAATCGTGAACGGCGCATGTTTAAGATGATATTCATGCGTTCATACAAACGATATTGTGGAGATAAAATTAAGACAGTTGTAGTTTGCCACAGCTGTCACAACATCGCACCATTGAATAAAGTTATGTATAGCATGCATGTAGCTCGATATCTTCGGAAAAATAAATTTCTGACAACAAATATTTCTCGACGCAATCATAAAAAATTGTTTCAACTAATTATAAGACTTTCTTATTTAATTTTTCTTTTTTTTTTTTGATGAAACGGAATAAGACTTTAGTTTAAGAACTAAAAGAGCTTTATTTTTACGCTAACTAACTGCGATCTGAAAATGACGCCAGAAAATGCTAATCCGATTAGGCGACTCCTGCGAATGCTGTCTCAAAGAATTACCAGGTCAACTAAATTTTCTTCCTTATCTAGATTCGAGCAGCGAACGAGAAAAGAGCAGAGAAATGCAATAATCAGTCTAAATTAACTGCCGCCGTTGTGGTTGACCCTAAGTATTATTAGCTGAGTTAAGTGAGGAAGATTTTTATTCTTCTTACACTTGTACATTTTACTTAAAATTATAATGAATTTTAATCTACTCGAAATTAATAAATTGAAATATGCTTTTCGAATTAATTAAATCATCCTTAGCCTACGCATATAAATTTTAGGATTGTTCCGGCAATAAAAGAAATCATAAAGTAATAACGTGTGATCGTAGATTACGGTTATATAAAATACAAGCACATCATTTTTGTGTTTATGCTTGATTCCAATCTTTCGTCTCTACATATCTTTTCAAAATATCAAGTTTTTATAAGTTTTTTAAAAGTTTAAAAAATTTCCTATTGAAATATTACTTCATAGAAAAGAAAAATAGTGCCAAAAAATGTTGATATCCATGGAGTGACACAAATGACGACACATTCAAACATAGCATTTTGGGTTTCTACAACAAAACATAAGGGTATCGATTCTGTAACTTTTTCTAAAGTAAAAACGTGAAAATAAAAAATTTCCGCCAATCACGCATTGATTTTAAAATGAAATCGATGCGTGATTGGCGGAAATTTTTCACTTTTCACGTTTTTACTTTAGAAAAAGTTACAGAATCGATATCAAGGTCTGTTTATTTAAGCTGAACTGATTGTCTTACTTTTGAGTTTATCTTTTTTACTCTATTGAAAGGAAGCCAGTTCAGCTAAAAAGAACAGATATATTTCAAATCAATTTTACGAACATGTACTTATATGGGTTTATTCAATATAGCTGAACTTTTTGCACTATATGTATGCTGAAAATGAAACAAATATATGTATATGTATATATTTAAATTTAGAAAGAAAGAGAAAAAAGTGAACTAGTGCAAAGAGTTCAGCTACAAATATATTTTTGTAAGAGAAAATGAAGGACTAACCTGAAAATTTTAGGGTTTTATTTTAACGTTTCCAAATTAGTTTTCAAGTGAAGATTGTTGAACAAAAAATTCTGTGAGTATCAGAAGTCTACGTATTCTTATAGTTTGAAATTGATTCGACTATGTTGAAATCAGTGCCGGATTAACCTAATATGTGGCCCTAGGCAGATTTTGGTTTTGATAGGGGCCTATGTAAGGCGAGGATTTTTTAAAAATTAATTAAACATATGAACACTAAAAAGGAATTGATATATAATATAAAATATTAATATAATATAAAATAATTTTTTGGTTATAAATAAAATTTTCTTCATTGGTTGGTGAGAGCTTTTTTGTGGCGGGAGCCTATAGGCAGTGCCTAGTTTGCCTATTGATTAATCTCTTGGTTTTTTAAAAATAGGTTCTAGGTAAGAAATTCCATTATTTGTACAAATTCTCACGTTAATACGACATTAAACATTAAAACGTTAAATGAAATGTAAAGAACAAAATTTTTTAAATAAAGGACAAAGTTGAAGTTTGGAAAAATCCAAAGAACAGCTACTTGAAATAAGGGGGTCTATAAGTCACTATACATATAGCTAAAGAATAAGTCGAAAAGTGTGACACAATGTTAACACTATCGACTTATAGCTGGAACGCGACTTAGTTTCTTTACTTCACCGTCAGAGTCCAAGAGATTTTGTAGTTTTTTCAGTTTTTTTACGCTTTTGTTAAAAAAAATGTGTTTAAAAATAATTTCCCACTAAAAGACCAATCCATAGAAAGGTAAAATAATACCAAACGTAAAATGTTGGTATCTATGGAATGACACATAATTGAACGCAATATTGACGAGTTGAGCGTAGCATTTTATTTGTAGATACACGATAAAGATCCTCTAATAATTAAGAGTTTGGCCAACAGAGTCAAAGTATATGAAAGTATGTCTCGGCCATGTTTATGCAAAATCCTGAGAAAGAGAGAGAGACAGAGAAATATTGGATAAAGTGAAAATATATATATATATATATATATATATATATATATATATATATATATATATTATAGTCAATATAGACAGGGATAGACAGTTATATCTTGCTTACGTAAAATGAAAAATTATATAAAAATGGGCGGATGTGCGGCAGAATTTTGCAACAATTCGTCTGCAAAGAGTTATATTATGAAAGTATTTCCGAGGAATGCCAAACAGCGTGCTGAATGGATCAAAAACGTCAATCGTAAAAACCGGATTCCGACAAATACTTCTTATCTTTGTGAGATTAAGTAACACGTTCTATAATGTTTATTAATAAAAATACTGTAAAGTTAATTATTATAATCAATATAATATTTATTTATTTGTTACATATTTACATTCAAAATGGAGTTATTAAAATTTGAATATGAGCAGGGGAGTTGCATAAATATGGCAAACCAATCAAAATAATAAGTGGCCCCCTGATAGCTAAACTCTTATTAAAGAATCTCTAGTACACGATTGTATTGACTTATTGTATCGTATAGTTGAAAAGCACTGGGTCATACACTATACTGTGTTATACAGTGTCGCCTGTGTAAGCTATTGGATAGGACCTATTAATATCCGATTCTTACCTGATGGCGATAATACTGCCACATTTGGTTGCGGCGGTGCTGTTGCAACCGGCGGTTGCATTCCCATCTCCGGCAAGGGGGGATACGGTGCTGGGGGATATTTCTGGTCATCCATTCTTCTTCTTCCGGCTCACCCTCGTCCTTTTCCGTACAAAAGAAAACGAGAAAACTTCTCGGGTCGACCAGCAGGCTTTCATTCAAAAAGGAGCGAAGAAAGAAATTATCTGGAAAACCGAGAAAAAAAGTAAATATGATTCCGAGTCGGAAACGATAGTACGTTATGCAACATACAAAATATTAGACAGATCTATAAAATAATATTTTAAAAGATAAAAAGAATATAAGATAAAATTACTTCAAATAATAAACAATTTTAAAAATCCTTCTTTCACGCAGATAAATATTTTTGTTCGCATAATTTTAATCCTTTTAGATGAAGAATACCAATTATTAAATGTAATTATTAATAATGCCAATTAAATATTGGTTAGAGGATAAGAATAGGAAATGTGTATTTTGTGATAATGGAAAGGATAACTTGTATCATTTTTTCAAGGAATGTGAGCTAACAAAAGAGAGGTTCGTTAAACGAGGGAACAGTGAGGAAGATAGAGGATAAAAGGAATAAAGAATGAGGAACTAGATAATGTAAAAGAGGAAATTTTGTGGAAACTTTGGATGGAGAGAAAAAGTAAAGAAGATAAAAGAGAAATAAAGAAAAGGGAAGAAAAGTAAGAATATAGATAGGAGAAGTGAAAAAAAGAAAGAACATTATTTCTTGAATATAAGAGTGTGATTAGGCTGTGACTAGAATTAATGATATTTAAATTAAGGATATAGTTACAGTTAAATGTAAAATAACAAAATTAGGTTTATGATTAGAAATAAAATAAAATATAGTAATAAGAAAGGTTATATATAGTTATATAGTAAATAAAGAATATGAGTCAAAAGATGAATGAGGATGCGCAGTGTGAGTGTGAATTAAGTGATTTCCGTAAACCAAGTGCCCTTCTTGATTTTGTAAGTTGAAGGAAATAAATTATATACAAGGTGATTCATTTTAATCACCCCAGGCAAATATTTAGAAAACTGAGAGATACGAAAAGATGTTTCAAACAAAAGTTTTTTGGCTTCGAGAGGGACATAAGATGGTGTCATTGATTTGGCCTTGTATAATCATTTAAAAGTCACGTGAAAGTCACCTTTAATTTTTAAATGAAACTTACTATTTTTTATTATACATATATTCTTATAGCTTATCTCGAGAGCTTTCCAAAACACTATAATAAATATAGTGTAATATTTTGATATTATTTTCTTAAGTACTTTTTAAATTATTATAGTTTGAAATTAACAATTTTTTTACATAAAATGTAAAATATCTTGTAAAACATTTTTTTAGTTTTCGGTAATCTTATCTTAATACTTTTATGCATGGAATAATGAGACCAATCAATTGCTGTAAAGAAAACATATAGTTGCTTTTAAGAAAAAGTAGTAAAAGCAGTTACATGCTGCAAATTACATACTTCTTTTTATGTATATTAATAATGCAAATTATTAATTTAACAAAACGAATTCAAAAATCGGAATGCTTGAATTGATTTATATTAAATAAAAAATAAATTCTCGCTTTTTATAGTTTGAATTTTAGAACCCTTTATTGTAAGCTTCTTCAATAAAAATTTCGATTTTTATAATTAGACATAGGTTTGGAAAATAAAAATTCGCTACAAAATTCGCTCATAAGAAATTGTGGAAAGTCATCAGCTGTCATTTTTTAATGCATCTAGTTATTGAAAAATAAAAAATGTAATTAGAAAGAGGAAAGTCTGCAGTTTTTAATGGATATAAATAAAATATTTGTATACTAGTTTATTTTATTGATAAAAAGTAATGAAAAAGGTGCTAATAATCACATATGTAAACTAATGATAAATATTTACGAAGTGCGCAACCATTTGAATTTGTACAAAATTCTGTTCTTTTTCGAAAACTCGTTTCAGTAATTTCCTATGGGACACCCTGTATATTCTAGATACAAAAACTGAAAATTAAATGCGCTCGCATCTCTCTTCTACCGACGGAGAAGATCTATCCAGGAAGTATATTAGTTCCCGAACAAGTCGACCGATGACGGAGGCTGCTTGCTCACGTACGGAACACTTGTTTGCGCATACTGTTTACGTTGTTGAAATTGTTGGGTCATCGTCCCCGCGCCACTCGCGGTATTCGCCTCTTAAAAGTCATTGTAACGCATATATGCATATGTAATACGAGAATACATATAGATATATATATATATATATATATATATAGAAGACATCTCGCACGTCGTTGATAAAACTTTCTCTCTCGTTATTGATAACCATATCCTTTGTTCCGCGATCCATTTTGCCTAAATCGGTACAGTCATCGAGAATGAGTGTTTTTGAAAGACCTTCCTGATTATTTATAGAGACAGAGAGAGAGAGAGAGAGAGAGAGAGAGAGAGATCGTAAAACGCATTTTTTAAATATTTAACGATTCTGCGAAAAAGAGAGAGCTTCCTATCTACTTTTTCCTCTTTTTAATCTGGAATTTTCATCACGCACGATTCGAAGAAATCATTAATCAACGAGGAAGCTGTAGATTTTTATATAGAATGTTTCAGAGAAGAAATTTATTATTACCGCAAATATCATTATATTTTTATTTTAGATTTACATTCAATATTTATTTTTATGGTAAAAAATATGCAAAGAGACGAATTGCTTATATTTCAGAAAAAAATAATTCCGTAATATACAAAATTAAGAATTAAAAATTATCAAAACTTAGAATGTTCCGACAAAGAAGTTTGTGGAATATAGAACTCAAAAATTAGAATATATATTTAATAGCGTCTTAATTGCACTTTTACAAGATTGCTTGCATAATTCTTGTGAATCAATCAGTCAGTGAGTTTTCACTTAAAAATAAAATCATCAAATATAGTTATATAAGATTATCTCACTATATAAAGAATCATTATTATTGTAGACTTTATGAAAAACACAATCAAAGATTAAATACTTAAAAATACGGACATAACGAGCATTATCGATATCTCGTCTTAATAACCGATTACGGAATTATCAAGAATTTACTCTGTAATTTCTTTTTCAATTAATTATTTATTATTTATTACGACTCGAATAATTTATTTAAAATTCGTATAAGTAATGTATTAAATTTAAAGTAAAATTTATATAATTTTATAAAAATATTTTTATATTATTATATGATTATTTAGAATTTATATTAAATTAAATTTATATAAAAACAAAATTATTAATTTAATTATATAAATGATTTCTCATACATGCACTGGATAGAAAAATGTGTACATACAGGAAAATAACCGAGTTATGAAATTAAGTGAAATATTTCTTAAGTGAGATGAGGAAAAAATGAGATATACAAGAATATCTCGTTTTTTTGTTTAAGACGTTATTTTTGCACCGGAATTATAACGGAATTCCGTTGCATCTCGCGAATCGCTGGAGCAAAACGAAATCGCCAGGTCGCCTACGTCACTGTACATGCCCCACGTGAGCATTATATCGGATCGTACTACTTTTTAACAGCCTTGAATAAAGATTTTATAAAGCCCAATTGACTGTTTCCTCGTTCGACGTTCGTTTCACACACGCGTGTGTATGTGTATGAATGTATATGTATATATACGTGTAAGGCCTCGAGATGATTTTTTATCGCTACAATTTTACAAGGTGTCACGCGCCTGTAATTGAAACTCTTGTATGCTTATGTATCGAGTTCATGTTTAATATGTAACGTTGACTTCCGGAGAGAAGTTCTATTTAAATTGTATTATATATTTTCACAGTTCTTTAGAAATATATTCTGAATTTTTTAAATAGTAAATTCTAAATTATAGATACTTTAACATTTTTTTAAATGAGTGTAGAGGAGATATAGATAATTAAATAATAAAAGAGATATAAATCTAATCTTATATTGGTATTTTAAATAATATTTTCTTTTTAATTCTTTCAAATAAAATGTAAATTCCAAAGAGAGAGAGAGAGAGAGAGAGAGAGAGAGAGCGAGAGAGAGAGAGAGCAACATCAAATTCCTTAGAACTTGATGATTTCGATTAGAACTGCGTTTTTATTAGATCTTACATAAACAAAATAGTAAAAAAAATATTAAAATATGTTTAAATTATTTTTGAGCTATAAAAAATGTATAAATCAGCAAGTTTTTTAAATTATAATTTCTTCAATTTTGTGAACCTGCGTCTAATTAATATGTCGTTTTATTATATATGCTGTGCAATAATTATTTTTATTTGAAAGCTTGTAATTGTTTTAAATAACAATAAATTAAGAACCATAACATTAATTAACATTAATTAATTATAACAAATAATAAGATGCAATTTGATTCGACCAAAAACTGGCTATTCATTTATTGATAATAAGTACACACTACGTTTCGACCCACATTGTGGTCCTTCTCAAGTGCTAGAATACAAAAATACATAATTTGGCAAGCGAAATTAACATTACATTAACACTAAATTTGATCTATAATACATACTTGTTCTTAATCAGCAATTACATTAGTTAAAGATAGAAACATGAAAGTTGTCCTGTCATATCGACAGTCTGTTAGCTACTGTAGACTAGTATTACGTTTTTAAATCATTTGAATAATGTTGTCATAAATAGGACTAAGGTTATCAATGTCTATTTGTAAATTAATTTTATTTGTTTGTCTTTTTATGTAGAACATTTCAGCGATCTCTCTTTTTCGTCTATTTTTCTCGGTATTAATTAATTAACCATAACATTAATTAATTAACAAATAGACAGTAAAATTTTAGAATTACAGAAGGTGTTCAAATATCCATCATCACTGTTTATGATAATTTCCAATTAGTAATTGTTTTGAATAACAATAAATTAAGAATCATAATATTAATTAATTAAAATTAATTAACAAATAGTAAAATTAGAATTACGGAAGGTATTTAAATATCCATAATCACTGTTTGTGACAAAATATCCAGATGGACATTTTTAAAGCGCATTATTTTGATTGAATTCTTTAAAAAAGGCAAACGTAATTTTATCATTCTTTATTTTCAATTTATTTTTATTTCGTAAATTTAGTCCTCCAGAGATGGAGCGTAATTTACGATACACCCTATAATACAATATATTCCAAATTTTAA